CATTTTATTTACTTGTCTCAGAAATAGTTTGACTAAACGGATATAATAGTGGGTTACGTTTAAGTCTGAACCATATTCCTTGTGGAATCGACCCCCAACCTACAGTTGGGTTCTTTATTTGACAACGATCGCTTATACATCTCTAGGGGGGTGTATTTTGAGCGTATCAAATTTTGGCGCCGTTGCCGGGGAATACGGCTTTTAGATTAAGTTTAATTACATTACTGAACTTTAATCAAGTATTTCCTGATTTTACGTTTTCTTTTGTTTTTATTTTCTAGAGATTTCTACTCTCGTGTATGCCATCCAAGTACACGGAGTCGAGGCGAACCATTGACCCCCTACGATCCAGAGTCGAGCAAAACTTTGAGAAAAATGAAAAATCAAGGAGTCCACAACAATCCAATCTGAGAGAATTTAGGTGATAGAGTTGAATTGCAGCCTCCTGGGTTGTTAATGTGCACGCTCAGGTTCATGGTGGTAATCTAATCGGAGATGCAGAAAAGGTGCAGAATCCGCCAGCACCAAGGTTGCGTGATAACTACAGGGTTGACTTCAAACAGTTGAATCAGAAGGGCCCATTGTTCTTCCTCCTCTACCTCCAGGGCATATATTTGTGGTAACCATCACTCTGAAGCAAATGCTTACAACACGAGGGTTGTTTTCTGGTCTAGCGTCAGAAGATCCACATGGTCACATGGCAAAATTCAGAAGTGTCTGCAAGTGTTGTGTGGGACGACCGGAATTGGATATAGATGTCATAGGTATAAGAGTCTTCCCTCTGTCATTGACCGGTGATATTGCGGTGCTATTTGCTGAGTTTCCATATAATTCAATTCATACATGGGACCAATTGCATAGGGTGTTGATGGCGAAGTATTTACAGTGTCCAAGAAGCTAAATCACAAGGATAAACTGAATAATTTTGTAGTACAACCTGGAGAGTCTGTGAGCAGTTCATGGGATAAGTTCATTGCGTTCATCAGAAGTGTTTCGAATCATTGCATAGATGATGATTCATTGAAGGAGTATTTCTACAGAGGTCAGGATGCCAATGGAAAGGTTGTGCTAGATACTATTGCTGGAGGATTATATGGTGAGTGCACTTTTGAAGAGATCACTAAAAAATTGGAGAAGATTTCCTAGAATAATAAGGCATGGAGCACTAGAAAAGCTAATACTGGAAGAAGCACGTTCGTAGTTTAAGTTGCACCAGATCAATCAAATGATGACATTCGTGAGGGGATGGCTCAAATGAGGACAAAACTGGGTTTTGTATTGAAGCATGTGAGTGAAAATACATAAAAGGTGAATGCGGTAAACTACCTAACTAGAACTCTACCACCACCAGTTGAGGAATCTTACTATGAGGAGGATGCGTATTTGGTAAATGATCAGACGGGGGGTTTCCGAACCAACGCCCAAGGTTCCAACTCGGATAATTGGCACCACCGTCAAGGAAACCAAGGTCAGAACTATGGAAACTAAAATCGAGAGGGAAACTATGTTCGGAATAGAAACTACAATCGTGATAACAACTACAACTAGAACAACTATGGCAATAGAAATGACAGAGTTGGGCCCTATTTTCCACCTTGGAATAGAAATTTGGCAATAGAGGCTGGGGGTAGTATGTCACGCATTAAGGATATGATGCGAAAGATGATGAAGAGGTTTGATGAAACTGATGAGAATGTGAAAGAGATGTGAAATGACTTGTCTGGAATTGGTCAAAAAGGTGATTCACATGCAGTGTCGATCAAGCAACTTGAGCAACAATCTAGTCAATTGTCCACTATGTGAACCCACGTCAGCCTGCCACACTTCCTAGAAACACCATACAAAATTCGAAGAATGATGGGCATTGTATGGGAGCCACTACTCGAGAAGGTAAACATACTATTGACCTCCTATGCCGTCTGAGGTTGAAATTGTGGTAGAAAAAGATGCAAATGAGATTGAGGTTATTGGAGAGTCGAAAATGCTAAACAGAAGAAAACAAAGGTGACCCAAAAAGTTGTTCCCATGCCTAGACCTTCACCTCCATTTCCACAGATATTGGTGAAGAAGACCGAAGGAGAAAAATACTGCAAGTTCATAAGTATGAAAGATTTGGAGACCTTCACCTCCATTTCCATCAATGTTCCGTTGATAGAACCTTTGGAGAAAATGTCTGGGTATGCAAAATTTATGAAAGATTTGGTGACAAAGAAGAGGGCCTTCAATTTTGAGAATGATGAGAGGTTTCAACATTGCAGTGTTATTGCTATTAGGCACTTGTCCAAAGGAAAGAGGATCCGGGAGCTTTCACTATTCCTTGTACCATCAGAATTTTGCACTTTGCGAAAGCTGTTTGATTTGGGTGCTAGCATCAACTTGATGTCGTTGTCCATTTATAAGAAGTTAGGTTTAAGGGCTCCAAAACAGACTGTGATGTGTCTACTCATGGCCGATAAAACTGTGAAGAAGCCCATTGGTGTTCCCTAAGATGTC